GATGTTATGGTACGTCTAAAATATTATATTTAGTTGAGTTTAAAATTTTTTAAATTTTTTTGATAGATTTATATTAAAATTTAATGAAAATATGTAGAGAATTTCCACTATGACATATATTTTAAAATGAAATGTTTTGATTGGTTAAATTAAGTTATGTGTCTCTTAATATCCTCATTGAACAACACATAAGAATTTTTCACCAAATGTCTTTTCAATTAATATATAGAGGATTAATATATATAGAGGATAGTTTGGTTCATGTCATTTATATATTTTTTAGGTTTCATCCAGTATGAAATTCCTAACCAAATTATACATTTTATGATCAATTTGGCCGAATTCCTCTTTATTTCTATTACTCTTCATCTCATGTGAGATTTTAGTTTAACGAGATTTTGGCTTAGTTTCTTATCCTAGCAATCAATACTATAAAGACACAAGTGCCTCTCCATACGAGGACACATCAGCTATTCTGTATTATAAGAGGTTGATCAGATTATGATAAAGCAATAAAAACATTTTAATTTAACATGTCATTTAAAATTTTACACGTAGGTTTGCACCTCTTCTTTTTTAGACTTCTCGTCTCCTGCACTTTCATAGTATTTATTAGGTCAAAATAAAATCAATAACTACAACTACGATTCCCAATGCACCAGTTAATCTCTTGATTCTCTCAATCTCTCGTCTTATTTTATACACCAAGTTTTTCAAACTTCTCTCATTGAATCGGTTTATGGTAGAGCATGTAAGCAAGTGAGAAAAGAATTCGACATTCATCAACTGCATAATTCATGTATAAATCTTTTGTGTAGCTGCGGTGTTCACTGTTCACATCAGAAACGACCGTTTCATTATCTTACCACTCGGTTCACTCTTGGAATCTCCTCATCCAATTTCTTTGGGCCGATCTCGCAGTACTCGATCCAACTCGAATTTACCTCCTCCCCCGGAACCAACGTGTTCGACGATGATGCATTTGCTCCATAAGATCATTTGTTGCGTCACAATGCAAGTATGTTATGTGAAGCGCGATTGACATAGTTCTCCAAAATCAATTATAACTCTTTTGACATGGCAAAACACGTGAGGACCAAAAACAAAACTTCTAAATTAAGTGCAATTTTTCCACCTTTCAGAAAAGAAATCCATGTAAGAAGCTTATATTATTGAGTTATATGTTAACTACTGTGAGAGACTGTTTTACAGAAAATTCTAAGTCTTTGTTTTATGTATGCATGTGATTGAAACTTTCGTTGCAACCAGAGCAATGGAATTAGAGCTTCACTTTCTAACCAAGTCAAATTGTTTTTTTTTTTGTGCTATGATTACTTACGGGTCATGTTTAAAAATATCTTGATGCATATTAGTACTTACATTTTTTTTACAAAAGTTTTGCAATCCCAAAGACGGCCTGGACTTATCTATTGTGCAAGAAAATACAAGGAAAAACTAAAAGTATGTACAATCTTATTGGTCATCAATCAAATTCCATGTTCCATATATATTTATATAATCACGCTTTCAATATTTGCATATATTTTTCTTCATAATAAGTATTATAATTATCCATGAAACCTTGTCACTGGGATTCAATGTTGATTTGTCGGGTTCAATATGTTTTGCTCTGTTTTATTAAACTTTTGTTATGTTTCTAGACTTCATGTCTTAATAAAACCTCCTAGATGATTAAAAAAAAAGTATACTGACACTTGCTTTGATTAGCAGAAACTTCGTGTGCATGATTTATAGAATGCTTAAATATGTTTCTACAAAAAAAAAAAAATTAATTTTCTGATTTTTTATTCTTTTATAATCTTACTTCTTCATTACATGCCTTTTTTTGGGTAAAAAAACATGCCATCTATGACAAATTGTTGAACCTTAGAAAACAGTGAGAAAGCTTGCAACATCTATATCCTCAATCAACAGGGAGAAGAGAAGCTGAGAAAGTTAGATAATGCATTTTCATGGTTTAAAATTATCTATCATCTAAATTACTTGATTTATTTCAAATGTTATTCATCTCGAATTTATTATACTATCGTACAAGTTATCATGGAAGAATAGAACTACATATCTCTTACACCAAAATATATACTGTCTATTTATTTATCTTCAATTGACATATTAATTGTTTTGCATCCAATCTCATATATCCACAGTTGATCGACACATGAAGCAATGCATTTAATTTGATCAATGGAATTGGTATAATTTGCTTCAATCTTCTACTTTTTAATATTTTAGCAATGTTCTTTTCGGAAAGAAAAACAATTATTGTCAAGAAAACTATCTCCTAATTGATGGTTATTATTAATAGGAATGATAAGTGTTATGATACTAAGATGCAATACATATTTTCGGGTCGAGAGACATTTAATAGTGTTCTTATAACTTTTAATATACGTTGGATTTTTTTTTGTTGGTGTAGACTGAACTTGTTATCAGCATATGGTGTACTTTAGTAAAACAGTGAATTTTTGTTATACAAAGAGTCTGCGGCATAGCGCGGGTGTTCATCTAGTCTTTTATAATTTCAAATAATAATTTTTTTTGTTGCAATTGTATGATTATTCATGCATTAGTTTCAAACCTCCTTTCTGCACGTGTGCAGTAGAATATGCACCTTTTTAAATCTACAAGGAAAAATTAAAACAAATAATATTTCAGAATGTGTACTAAATTTCTTTTTAATATCATAATTGGGGTTACCAGATTAGTGATCTTTTATCTTTCATAATAATCATAGTCACATTCATCTACATTTAGAACATGAAACAAAGATAAAATAAGACAAATTTTGCGGTGTTTCTCTGGAATAGTCGAGTGCAAACTACATGTAGAAAGACATATGATCAAGTATAGGAGACGGAAGCGTTGTAAACATAGACGTGAATGCTCAAGTATATGATGAAGATGGAGTTGTTGGTGTATACGAACAAGGCAAAAAAAAGTGCTATGAATTTTTTGTTTTGATGTGATTTTTTCCAGTTATAATGAATTTAATTATCAAATAGTTATATTTGTTATAAAGTATTTGTGTTCTGAAAATTGGTGAACCAATTAAAATATATTGACACTKGTGACACAAGATGCTAATAGAACGATGCACATGATAGTGTTACACTAATGATATTCAAAGTCGATATAGCTAGGATGCAATGAAGAATGGAAGTGACGATGACAACAACATGTCTCATAAATTTTTGGCCCAATGTCAGTTGTTCGTATAGTTCTTCGTGATATTCGCTT